GCGAAGTTCATGTAAAGGATGTTTTTGGAACAGTGGAGGAAAATTGAAAAGGGGCCAGTTATTCAGCAGTATTATACCAATGTAAATTACAGGGGTATGATACTGATCTTGTGGTTATGTCATAGCACATGGTTTTTATTCTTAAGGGGGCACTTGCTGAAGCTCTTAGCAATGAGCGTCACAATGTCTACAACTTATTTTTAAAATTTAAAAATATTTTAAAATTATGTGTGTGGAAAAAATACAATAAAGTATTAGCAATTGGTGAATCAGAATATATGCATATCCTTGCAGGTTTTGGATAAGTTGAAAACTTTCAAAATAAAAACATTGGGGAACAAAAAGAAATAATCCATTGAAGATGCGTGGATTTGGGCCTTCTTGCCCCTCTATAGCTCTCCCCTGTTGACTGGGCCCTGTGTGGGGCCTCACTCAGATATTGAGATGAGAAGACAGGTGGCGACAGTCACTTCCCAGAAAGATTATGGCAGTGACAGCAATAGGGGTTGTACCTGAGGAAATCCCAAGGGGAAGTACTTGTTCCTTGAGTCATTAAGGAAGTGTCAGAAGAGGGTGGGGAAGTGTGTTGGCTGAAGATAACCATGAAGGCAGCCCCTCGGAAAGGCTAAAGGCAAATCTTGAGAGCAGATTCTGGCATGACACAGGCTTCTTGTACCTGGTGATCCCAGTGACCAGTCAAGGAGAAAAAAGCAGAATGAGTCTGCCAATCTGTGGGCTGAGGTACCCAAAACTGACTCTCCCTCGGCCACAGCCTGACTTGGAGGCCTTAGAAAGCTTCTTTCCTTTTGTCAGCATCTAGATCCTCTTCCACAGAGGAATGAGAAATAATTGCCTTGTCACACTCAATTAAAAGAAATGAGAAAAGAACAGAAAGAAACCAGTCCTGACAGTGTTGGGCAAATACCTCAGAGCTCTTAACTATGACACCCTGTAGCATTGGTAATGTACAGTAGTGTTTATCATTGTTACTATTTCTGTTCTTGTTATGAAGTTGGTATTCCTATAAATTCACAGAAGAACCCCACACAGAGGTAGTGGTTACCTGGCCTCTGGAGTTACATCTGTCCCAGCTTTGGAGTGGGAGCTATGTCCTGTCCTTGACCAGCTGGCATAAGCTAACAACATCTCAAAGCTGCCCCTTCTCTGGAGAATTGCCCTCAGCCATTGGGAAGCACTAACTACACACCTTCCACTCCCTCCACTCAGGGGCAGACCTTAGCCAAAGGGTGACTGGATTGGAGGTGCAAAAAGCTGGTGCCCTTTCATGGCGGGTCCAACTCTGTGCAATGTGTGGGATTGGTCTGAAGTGTGATTCCAGCCTAGACCCTCTCTTTCTTTAGACTCCCTGCTGTCTCCTACCTGCTTTCCTTAACACCCCCCGCCCCTCCTTCTCTTGAGAATGCTCTGTCAGGAAAGTGCTTGAAAAGTCCTGTCTCAGATTCTGCTTCCAGGGCCTCCCTCCCAAGGAAAGCACTTTCTAGATGTGTGTGATGTATTAGACATTCCAGTCACTACAACAAATGCATTGCCAAGTTAAACTTCTGTGGTTTAGCATAATAGGTATCTCTCACTAGCAGCCGCTCAACTTGGTGGAGTATTTGCGGGGAGGGAGGTGTTTTCTGCATTACTCACACTTTCAGGCACTGAGGCCAATGGAGGCTGTGCCATCTTCTATGTGTGGCTTCAAGTCACCCTTGATGACCATAGATATGTAGGGGAAAGTCACTCTTTCTTCTTAGTTATTCAGGTTTAGAAGCGACTCCATTCATTTCTGCTTACATTCCATTGGTAGAACTAGTCACATGGTCCACCTATAGGCCAGGGTTGCTGGGAATTGTAGTCCCTACCTGGGCAGTCACCACTTAGTAAGGATCATAGATCATAGATCCTACACCCTGAAAGGATCATAGATCTTTGGTGGGCAGTTATCTCTGCCACACTGTGTGACCTTGTGCAAGTTGTTTTAATTTTTTGAGACTCTGTTTCTTTACCTATAAAAATGGGCAATCAAAAGGATCCCCCTGCTAGTTATGGTCATAAATCAATGAGTTGAAACATATAAAGTGCTTGGACTAAGGCTTGGACAGAATAAGGGCTTATAACATTAACTATTTGTATTATTTGTTGAAAATCCACTTTGAGTTATATATACTCCTCATCGCCATCCATGATATGCAGATATTCATTACACCTGCATTAAAGAGAAGGGTGAAGTTCACAGAGGGGAAGTGGTTGACCTGAGGTTCTACAATTAGGGAGCAACAGAATCGGGCAAGGTAGCCAATATAGTTCTACATCAAGAACTGTCAGGCTTTTTGCTAAATAGCCCCGCACTCAATCTTTGCATCTGCCATTTGAAAGATGCTGGCATCCCAGGTAGGTTGCCTTAATCTCCTGAGTTAGTCTTCCTGGCTGGGCCCCTGACAGCCTTTCCACTCCTATCTTTATCACTATCCCTCTTTGCCACTACAGTCCAGCCCTTCTTTCTTTCTAATGCTCACATAAGTCAAGCTTGGCCCCGCCTCAGGGTCTTTACACCTGCTCTCCCCTCTGTCTGGAATGCTCTTCCTACCTGTCTTTCCATGGCAGGCTCTTTCCTTTCACTCTGCTCTCAGCTCAAAGGTCACCTCCTCATGGAGGCCCTCCCTGATTCCAGTTCAGTCACTTACTTTTACTTTACAGGCCTGACACTCAGCCTTGTCTAAGATTTTTTGTGTGCTCATGTATGTGCTCAGAGTCTGTCTCTCTCATTAGGCTGCAAGCTCAACAAAAGCAAGATCCTAATTCTCATTACCATATTTTTTCATGTGTAAGACACTCCATCTATAAGACGCTCCCCACTTTTCTAACCTAAAATTAAGAAATCAATATTTTAAACATTTTACTGGTTTTCCTCTTAAGACCTTCTTTTTTGGCATCTTAAGAAGTTGTTCCATTGTCTGATCATACACTCAGTGGGAGGAGGTCCAAATTGTTTATCTGAAGCTCTGTTTCCATGCTCTTTTGCATAAATTATTACATTTGGTTTGAATTTTGCAAAGTAAAACAATCGCTTGCTGGTATTTATCTTTATTTCTTGATATCTTAAGGGCTCAGAACACTCTGGTCCCTGTTGCATCTGAACACTCTCTACCTCCACCTCCAATTATGGCATCTGCTGATGTCAGTAATGATAAGGCTCGTGATTGAAGGAAGCCTATTTGATCAGATATGGGCAGCTACACACCTGTGCACCTGTGTGGCTCCCTCCTCGGATGACTTCGGTGTATTATTATTTTTTTTACATTTAATATAGTTACTTTTATTTTTTTTAGTAAATCTTTATTGTTCATATTTTTACAAAAGTTCCTCATTTTCTCCCCTCCACCAGGTTCCCACCCACCCTCTGCCCTTTCCCTACTCCCCATTGTCCTCATCCATTGGTGCACAGCTTAACTAGTGTCTTATACACAGAAAAAATATTCTTTCTGTATCCCAAGTAACCAGGACAATGTTCTGGCACAATGTTTAGCCTCAGTAAATATTTGTTGACTAAAACAAGACCTTTAATGGATGACCTGTGACCCTATATGCCTCTTTGCCCACCTTCTTTCCCATTTTCCTCCAGGGACCCTGCTCAAGGACATGCATAACTTCAGAGGGTTCCATTCACATAGCAACAATGTGAATTGTTAGAGAGGAGGCAGTGTTTCAAAAGTGCACAGCCTATATAAATGCAGTAATGGCTCTGTTGCTATCTTTCCCACCACTCCATTCATTCATTCATTCACTCAATTGAAAACATCTACTAAGCACCTATGATATGCAGTTAGTGGTGCAGACACAGGAGAGAAGAGAAACCTCTGTGCCTGTGTGGAAAATTTGAAACTTGCAAACAAAAGAAAAATAGAATGTATAAAAATGTCCAAGAGAAGCATACCATTGCAAATTACACATTCATTTCTCTTCCTCCACTACTGTTATTCTCAGCCTTTCTTTCCGACCTCTGCACCCTCTGTAGTCACTAACAGATGCCCTATACCGTTCTCCTCTCCCTCCTACCCAGTGGGCTAGAGCTGATTTGTAGACACCTGCAAAGCTGATTAATAAATATTTAGGCATTTGGTAAGCTGGTTGTCAAACTATGCGTGGCTTCAAAACCACATGTGGTGGGAGCATTTGCACCACAGTACTGGGCCAACATTATGAAACGGTATTTGTTGATGCTGTTTTTTCCAAACAGCTGGTTTTATAACACAGCACTATTCCCATCTGTTTCTAGCAGAAAAATTGTCAAAGAATATTCTGATTCTTCCATAGCTATTCAATTTCCCCCTGACATAACTCAGCCCCCTCCTAGGCAGCAGGAACTAGAGACTCTAAGAAGAAAAAAAGAAAGCAAGAGGGAAGGTCATGAAATTGGGTATTTAAAAAAAAAAAAAAGCAATATTGGGAGGGAAAAGAAATAAAGGAGAAGTAGGAATCTGTGGAAAGCAATATTGGGAGGAAAGAGAAGTAGGAAGCTGTGGTGGGGCAGAGGTTAGGATAGAAAACCCATAGAGACCAGCCAAGACCCATCACACAATGTCCTCACAGGCAGTTGAGCCACTTCCCCACCTGGGTCCAGAAGGTGGCCAGGTTGCCAGGAGAAATGAGGAAACTACCTTCACAAACTACCCTGAAACAGTGTGGGGCTGAGAATCCAGACCAATGGAGGCTGGGGCTGGGATTCCTCGATTTTTAACTGTAGAGGGATCTGGGAGCCGGGACAACTGGGACAGAAGGAGGAGAAGGGCCTTGACTCTTGTGTCAGAGGATTGAGGAAGGACTCAGGTTTCTGGGCCTTTAAAGTGGGTGAGACTCAAGAGTGTGGGCCCAGGCCTTCTTTAGCAAGGCCCTGCGCTCCCCACCCTTTCCTGGCTGCCCTGGGTAAAGAGAGACATAAAAGGGCTCCGTTTCCTGGGGGAGGAGCAGGAGCAAGAATTCTAGCTGACCGGACTATGAACTCCATTCTGCCAGCCCTTCTGGGCCTCACCCTCATGCTATCCCGTAAGTGTGAAAACCCCAACTTGGGAGGGGATTTCCCTGGAAGGTGGGCTAAGATGGGTTTTCTGTTCCTTTCTCAGGAGGGCAGGCCCTGATCTGTCAGTCGGGAACATATGAAACTGTGAGGGAAACATCAGAACCGCCCTTGGAGTGGACAGTAGGTGCGGAATTCTGCATGGATGGCTGGGGTTGCCAAGATTCGCTTATGCTCGTTGAGAATGGTGAGAAAGGCCCCAAAGGCCCTGAGCCTGATCCCCCACCTTCACCTGCAAAGGGATATCCCTCCTCCTGACCAGTAGACTCCAAAGATTTCCTCCCCTCATGCCAGGAGCTGTCTGACCCCTCCCCAGCAGGAGCAATCCCTCAGGTACCCAGTTGCCTCCTCTCCAACCTCTCCCCCAGCCACAACGAGACTCTCTCTAGCACCCCAGAATCCTGATCCTCACCCTGTCTGCCTCCCTCTTCATCTAGGACCCCAAGTGCTCCTAATTCTCACCAAGGGCTGTACCCCGAAGGAGGATCATGAGGCCCGTGTCACCCAGCACAGGAAAGGCCCTGGTCTCTCCGTCGTCTCCTACACCCGTGTCTGTCGCCATCAGAACTTCTGCAATGATCTCACCACCTCCCTCCCTGTCTGGAGCCTGCCCACCTCTGCAGGTGTGGACAAGGAGGGGAGGAGGAGGAGGGGAACACAGAGGGGATGTTCATTTAGAACCCCTCCCTCCCACCAGCCTGGCCACACTCCACAGGACTGCCTCCACTGGCACAGCTTGTTCCAACAGTCCTAGGGCAGCAAACTGGGCTGCTTTTCTGAGTTCAAACCCACCTCAAACTCTGGTGATGGCCTGAACCTGGACCTAGATCTTCTCTCATACTGTTGAGCTTGGCTCACTCATGTTTCTTTTAGGGTTTGGGTATATCCTCTTAAAGTGAAATTGGCCTGTAGCTCTCCACTGTCCTTATCTATATCATAAACTGTTGGGGGAGGGGAGCTGCTTTGTGTTTCTCTAATCTTTGGGGCATCTTGTCTGCTTGGACTGTGTAGTGCAAGTTGTGGGGGAAATCTACTCTGGTTTCTTCACGGGTGCCCCTCCTGTCTCATTCACCTCTCCCAGATCTCATGCCTTCCCCAACCCCTCCCTTCTCTCCACTGCAATTTCTGGCTCGCCAGGTCTACATGAGACTGAGGAGGTTGATTATGGGGCCACAAAAGCAAAGAGAATAGAAGGCACCAGATCCAAATTCAAAGCCCACTCAGTCCTCCCTTCTTCCTTCTCCCCTCCCAGTCCCAGGATCTGTGCGGTGCCCAGTCTGCTTTGGTGAGGAAGACTGTGAATCTGCAGTAGAAGTGACCTGCCCATTTGGGCACAACCACTGCTACAATGGGACCCTGCAGATCAGGGGAGGTAAGCTGCGACACCAGGGTCTCTGCCAGCCCTGAGGGTACCTGAGGGCTGGGGCTCAGAGGAGGGTAGGCCTGGCTCCTCAGGGTTGGATGGTCCCAGTGGTGGCATCTTACTCTCTCCCACTCTGCCTGGTCCCTTTCCACAGATGGCATCTTCACTGATCTGAAAGTCCAGGGATGCATGTCCCAAAGAGCTTGCAACCTGCTTAATGAGACTCGGGAAATCGGGGCCTTATCTGTGAATGAAAAGTGTGATTCTGTCGGTGAGTCCCATGTCTGAAAGGCGAGGCTGTACCCACCCTGCAGCCCTGGAGTACGATGAATGTCAGACGTGCAAACATATCCCACCAACACCAACACCAACAAATATATTTAGAACTTTATTACTCATTTGGGCATGCACAAAGTGAGGGGTTGTCCTGGTAGGCGTTTTGGGGTGAGCATGCCAGTAAGAGGTGTCCCTCTGAAAGGGAGAGAGAGGATCAGGGTACAGATATAGGACGGGGTGGTAGGTTGGCTCTTTTGCATTCCACTTTATCCCACTGGGTGTGGAAGTGAGTGCACAGTGCATGCTTCTCATGCTGGGTGCTTCAGGAGTGATAGAGTCAGCAGAGACCCTGGGAACTCAGACCTTAGCAGTATGCCCAGTAGATTGAGATTGGCCTAGAGTATCTCAATGAGAAGCACCAACAGCAGGAAGGGGAGCAGGAAAAGTGCCTTTGCTGTCTGAGACTCAATTTTCTCATCTACCCAGACTGCCCAGTTCTTATAGCCTCAGGGTGAAAGTTCAGTTATTCAGTAACATTTCTCTATGGACTTGGATCTCTCTGACTAGATTGGGAGCCTTGAACACAGGTCCCGGATGGCAATGAAACCAAAGTTTCTAGCCTGAGGCAACACAAGGGCTAGCTCAGGATGCAAAGTGAGTTTGTACAGGATTCCAAGGTCTCCAGTGGAGACTATAGAGGACTGAGACCCTCACCGTGCCCTAAAGGGTCTCCAGGACGAGGAGGGGAGACATTAGTGATGCAGATGGTCACAGGGTTTCAGTGAAAGGGGTGTGGGGAAGCTCTGAGGAGGCAGATATTAAAGCCCTGCAGTGGGGTGTCAAGGAGGGCTTCACAGAGGAGGTAACCTTAAAGATTAGCTGCAGTCTATGAATAGAAGCGGGAAAGGACATTGATAGGCAGAAGAAACAGCCCATGCAATGGCCTAGCAGTGGGAACAAACCTGCTATTTTCAAGAAGGGTTCCTTGGCTCTACCTGAGATGGTAACATCAAGAAGATGGGTTGTGACTGGAACTTGTGGGGCAGGGGAGGGGAGATGATTGCCAATTTTTCAGGTAGACAAGGTAGATGTGGGTGACCTCTGCTATTCCTAGAAGAAGGAACAGTGATTTAAGGGCAAGGAGGCAGGAAATGATCTGGCGTGTCTTTGGAATGGATATTGGTTGGGGAGTAAAGAGAGAGGTTGGGGGCCAAATGGTAGGTCAAGTAGCCACAAAGCCAGACTGAGGGGTTAATCTTTCTCCTGAGGAATAGGGAAGAATAGTCCTGGTCTCTCCTTTTGATTAGTTCTGTTTAAACTGTCCACCCTTATCTCTAGGACTAAGTAGCACTCATTTTCCAGAAGGCATTCCTGAAACAAATCATATGCAACCCAGACTACACAGCACACATTACACACAACAGACATAACCACATTCACCGTACCAAATGCACAACACACACCACATGCCTCTTTACACCTGATGCACACCATTAACCTCATATACCACACACCACACACAACCCAGCACATGCCACATACATCACACATTAACAAAATAAAGACACACAGAACTCATACCATGCTATGCCTTCACAATAAATACAAAATACATCATACACTCATACTTCACATCACATACCACCCATACTATACACACCATACAAACATATCATATAACCACACACATACACTTACACCCACATACCATGCACACACTCTACACAAACCACACAAATGCCACATGGAACACAGCTACTACACCACAAATGAATTCTCCTCATACATAAACTTATTCTGTTAGCTTTCAACATTGGAGTCAGATCTTGGGGTTTGCATTTGTTTTTACTGGTTCAGTTCATTCAGTAGTTTAACAAGTATTTATTGAGCAATGATAAGATCAAGTGTCAGAAGCTGGGGTACAAGATGTCATGGGAAAAGGTCATTGCAGGGTGACAGACAGCTCCTGTGAAGACCTTGGGCTGAAAGACAGCTCGGTGCATGGGTGCACGGGAACAGATTGCCCAAACAGGTCATGCAGGAGTCCATTGAAGTAGAACAAAGAGCTGGAATGTGAATGGCCTTGACTGCCCCACCAAGGAACTGGGCAGTAGTACCAGTGAAGGCTATGAGTCCACATAGGCAGGGAGAGCATGACAGTTAACAGTCTAGTTAGTGTCTGAATCCCAGAGATGTAGGCTCCTGTCTAGGTCTGACACTGAATGAGCTTGGAGGATCACTAACTCCTTGAGCCTTTTTCACCAATTTCAAGGAGAAGGAGGTGATTACAGATAGTCAGGAGCCAAGGAATATATGCAAAGGCCCTGGAGTGGGTGGGTACATGCCACTTGTTCAAGGAAGAGCCCAGCAACTTGTGCAACTCCAAGCAGTGTGTTCAAAAGAGATCAGAGCAGGACATGTGGATTGAGAGGCAGGGCCTTTGGGGTCATTTTAAGGACTTATATTTTTATTCTGAGTGGGGGGCAACCTATTAAATCTTCTGAGCAGAGGAGTGACATGAATTGACTTACTTTTATGAGGATCCTTCTAGATGCTGGGTGGAAACTAGAGTAAGGGTGAGATTCAATGGGGTCTTGGACTCTAGTGGAAGCAGCAGAAGTGGAAGCAGAAAAGTTCTGGCAGTATTGTGCAGCCTAAGCCAACAGGATATCCTGATGGGTGCAACATGGGGTGTAAGACAGAGAGAATTGTTAAAAATGACAGCAATGTTCTCCACTTGAGCAATTACAAGTAGGAGCTGTATTGACCAAGACACAAAAGGTGGTGGCAGGGAGAGTAGGGCCAGAGTAGCGGGGTGGGGGGGGGTGGCCAACCATGGTGCTGTCGTCTGTGAAGTGGAGAAGTGAGCAGTCCTTCCTGGGGCTGTTTTGAAGGTTAGCCATGTAGGTAGATGCTATCTCGTCAACTCAGGTTTTCTGAATTATGGGACACATCCCTCTGGTGATGTTATGGCCTTAGTGAAAGCTCCTGGTTTTCAGAGTGGACTCCTGAGGGCCCCAGAGGCCAAGGTGGCTGAAGAAAGTCATCAATCTCAGTCTTTTTGTCACTCAACTCAAGGAGCCCAGCTCTGCTAATTGCTAGCATTGGGCACTGGGAAAGCTGTTTCACAATTCTCCTTCTGTTTTCCATCTTGAAAATGGGAGAATGGGGGGGGGGGGGGGCGGGGGATAGCACCACCTACTTTGGGGTCATTGTTAGAAAATGAGGTAACCCAGATGAGGGAGCTCCTTGGGAAACGTAAATGGGCTAATCCATAGAAAGCAATCACAACAGCTGGGCACACAGGAAATGCTCAGTACACATTAGGCACTGGAATAATTCTGTTTGGAATATGAGGTTTCTCAGTTAAAAGAATATAAGGTGTCAGTCTACACTCCTCATTATCCTAAATTGGGAGCCAGGAGGACAGGGCCTGGATGTCATTTACACCAAGGTTTCTAGCCTGAGGCAACGCAAAGGCTGGCTCAGCATGTGAAGTAAGTTTGTGCAGGATTCCAATGTGTCTAATGGAATCTCTAGAGGACTCAGATCCATCCATCTCTCTCACACCCCAAGCAAGGAGCAGCCTTAAAGGGGTGTTTGAGAAAGGTCCCTGCAGATGTGGAGCAGAAGTGGTGGTATAAAGAATAGGGGTGGGTCTCAGATTTCAAAGATCCCTTCTAAACCTCAGATCAAGGAATCGTGTCCAGGGTACCTGGAGTGTGACTCAAGAACGTAACCACCTTCCCAAGCACGGGACCTGGAGGGACAGAAATGTTCCTGGGCTTACCCAGACCCTGATTTCTTCTCCCCAGCTCGTCTGATCTGTGATATGGGGATCATGCTTCAGATGAAAGAAGACCTGGCTCAGAACCCCCTGCCTTGGGATACATTTTTGAACGTGACATGTGATTTGAATGAGGTGTGTCAGGAGACACTGCTGCTCATAGATGTAGGTGCGTGGTCTATTCAACAGGCTGGGATGGCCGCATGGCGTCTTGGGTCTCCTGCCCTGGATTCTGTCCCCTAAACTTGCTGCCTGATTCCCACCATGCCTGGAGTTTTACACCTCAAACTTCCTCTTTCTGTACCTTGGTTTCCCCTTCTGAAAAATGGGCCTAGGTGCTGGCAGTAATAGTACTTATTGTGCTGGGTAGACATGAGGATATATTTGAGGGCCCTTGCAAAGATCTGAGAACAGAGCTGGTGTACAGTGACATCAGTGACTTTGTCTGAACCTTATGAGCACCTGTTGTGTGCCAGGTTCTACAGATGCCATTGGGTGTCTTTTTGATCTTTTTACAACAGTGAGGAAGCAGAGAATCCAGCAGGGAAAGGAGATAAGAGAGAGTGAGATGACAGATGCAATTTGAAAAATGGGAGGCTCCACTGAGAGGGTGACAGTTGAGCAAGAACTGAGAAGAGACAGAGCTGGTGGAAGAATTCAGGCTCAGGCTCCAGTCTTCACCCCACCTTCAACAACCTCTGATTGGGGAACCTAATTTCATCCTCTGCCTGTTAAGCATCCAGAAAACACTAGCTCCTGTCTCCCTTGGGAACTCACCTCCCTCAGCCCAGCTGTCACTCCCTTCCCCCTCAGGACCTAAATCACTCATGGTGGGGAGCAAGGGCTGCAGCAAGACTGAGACACAGAATTCCACGACTATCTCCATCCACTTGGCACCCCCTGGAGTGCTTGTCGCCTCCTATGCCCATTTCTGTTCTTCCAACGGGTGCAACAGAGCCACAAGTAGCAGTGTCCTGCTGAACTCCCTCCCTCGTCCAGGTATGGGAGCCCAGAGGGGTGTAGGGAGGCATGAAGAGATGGGGCCCCAGAGATACAGAAACTCTGGGCTCAAGGAGGGAACTGTGAACCCTAACTTTCCCTTTGCTCCCCAGCTGTCCCTGCCCCAGGAGACCTGCAGTGTCCTGCCTGTGTGCATTTCAGAGGATCCTGTTCAAACTCTGTAAATGTCACGTGCCCTCGTGGTACCACTCATTGTTATAACAACGACCTCAATCTCCAAGGTGGTGAGTGCTGAAGGCCAGGTCCCAGGATGAAAGGGTTAAGGGTTTGGATTCACTGGTGCTGTGGTGGAAAGGTGCTTGAGTGTGGAGGGGGCTGGAGACTCAATTTTCTAGATCTGAGGGTGGAGAAGCCTAAGAGCCTGACCTCCTGGCCTGAGGGGCAAGTGGTAGGGTCTGAGATTCTGGATCATAGGAATTTAAGCATGTATTACTTTGAGACCCCTCTGAGTCAATCTTCACTCTCCAGGTGGGGTGTCTGCTGTATTTAGCATCCAGGGCTGCGTGGCCCAACCTTCCAGCTCCTTGTTGAAACACACCAAAAATATTGGGCAGTTCATTGTAAGTGAGAATGGGGCTGTTTCTGTTCACTGCCTGGCTTGGGTGGTGGGGTTGGGGTTATCCCTAACCTTTTGGTGTGGGATAATCTCCCCTCTGACTCCATTTACCCATGATTTTTCTCCCCTGCTGACCCCCTAAATACAGCCCTCCCTCTGACCTCATAACCAAACACTGAGTGGTTTTCCCATCTTCTCTGTGAACTCTCATCCACACTCACACACTTTGTGATCTGATAGCAAGATATGGAAGAGCCTGGGAGCAGCTGCACTGTTCTTACAGCCACATGTATCTGATAAATAAAGAAATAATCTTTTTTCCCAGTGCTGGGGTTTCTTATAGGAGGGAAGGGCAGCACACCCAGCAATCTGGCATGGGGGAGGAGAGGAATCCTGTGAGTGATTCACCATCCCAGGTCTGTACTTCTCTGGTCTGGTGAACATCTGTGTTCCAGCTTGGGCAGTAGCAGAGCCTTCAGGGTATTTGGGCATCTCTGTGACCTGGGAGGTGAAGGTACACTTTGATCAATGAAACATCTACTTAGGAGTCAGGTTCCCTGCAAAAACAGAACTTCATCCCACTCAAATCACTTTACATACTATTTTGTGTGAAGTAGAGAAACAGGAGATTGTGTACAGTTTCCTGAGACTGGCTTCACAGGGTCTGCTACCATTCTAGGCCTGAAAAACTGAGAAGTTATTACCATTACTATAATCCTGAGAGAGGGCGCAGGAGGTTTAGAGACAGCTGCCTGGGAAGAGCTCAGATCTTAGACAGAGTAATCCGTCCAGCCAACAGTAACATTATAGGAAAGGAGCTAGGGTATTGGAAGTCCAGCCTCACTCAGTGTTAGCCCTCTGGCCTCTTGTCAGGGCTCCCCATTGACTGCACCCAACTGTAAAGCAGAAAATCCCACTGACAGAGTCCCCATAGATCTGCCCCCAATACACAAAAGAGGGAAAGAAGGGGAGAGAGTGAGTCTGAAAAAAAAAAAAGTGTCCAGCATAGTCCACCCTTCTCCTCACATCTATCCCTTCCTTTGTCCAGGTGTAAATCAAAATCTTCAGAGAGGATCATAGCCTAGAGAAAATTAAAATGGCAATAAATAAATACCTATCAATAATAAGCTTAAATGTAAATAGATTAAATGTTCAATAAAAAGACATAATGTGACTGAATGGGTAAGAAAATAAGCTATCTACAAGAGACCCTCCTCGAAACAAAAGATACACATTAATTGAAAGTGAAAGGATGGAAAAAATATTCCACGCAAATGAAAAAAAAAAATAGAGCTGGGTTAGCAATACTCTTATCAGACAAAATAGACTTCAAAACAAAGGCCATAACAAGAGACAATGAAGGCCACTACATAATACTAAAGGAAATGATTCAACAAGAAAATATAACCCTTGTAAACAATACTGAAACACCCAAATATATTTTTAAAAGAAAAAAACCTCTTACGGGCTTTAAGGGAGGGATTGACAACAATACAGTCATAGTAGAAAACTTTAACACCCACTGACATCACTGGATAGATCCTTCAGACAAAAAAAAAAATCAACTAGAAAACAGAGGCCTTAAATGACACACTAGATCAGATGTTCTGATATTTACAGAACATTTCACCCCCAAAGAGCAGAATATATATTCTTTTCAAGCATACATGGAACATTCTCAAAGACAGACCACATATTCAAACACAAAACAAGTCTATGCTTGAAGTTGTCCCAGAGGTTTCTTACATTATCTTTAATTTTCTGGATTCTCTTGCCCTCTAGCTTCTACGGAGGAGTGTCTTCTGGCTCTTTATGTTCCAACTCTTTGACTTGATTCTTGCGATCTTCCATTCTGTTTTTAGGACTCTGTATAATATTTTTTTTTTATTTCAGTCAATGTTTTCTTTATTTCTTGTTGATACCTTATCATTTCTTATTGATTCCTTATTAATTATAGTTGATCCCTTTTCATATCCTCATAGGTCTTATCCATCTTTTCTAGGAAATTCTTGAGAAACCTTATAAGCATAGATTTGAACTCTATATCCAGTTGCTTTTTGTCCTCCATTTCTTTCGTTTGTGATCTATTTCGTCTTGGCATTTTTGCAGCTTTCCTGAGTTGGTAGCCTTAAAAGTCTCTGTGTTCTGCTTGGATGGGGTGGGGTTTCAGGGTGGAGCCTACAGCTTTGGCTTCCGTCAGCCCCGCCCTATGCGGGTCCTTCAGTACTCCTTGCAAGCACCTCTGAGAGAAAGGTGCCCTCAATTTTTGCCTGCTGCCAAACAGTCTATGCTCTCCCCCAATGAGCCAGGTATTGGGGTTCAGTTCAGTTGGAGATGTCGTTCAGAGCAGACTGGAGCCCCTGTCTCCTTCCCACCAGGGCAATCCCGCAGCACAGCCAACTGTCCCTTCTCTGTGTGCAATGTGCGCGCTGCCAGGACCTCCTTTCGCCGCTCCCCCGGGGTTCTGCCTTACAGCCCAGCTCCCTATGGATGAGCCTGGATCCCCGGGGTCTGGCCTAGAACTGGGATTCAGAGCAGTCATAACTGGGGCCCAACACAGTCGGAGCTTTTATCTCCTTCCCTCTAGGGAACGCCAGCCAGACACTCAGCCTCCCTCCTCTCGGACTCTGTCCTAAGGTACGGAGACGCGCCGCGTGTCTCCGTACCTTAGGCTTTTACAGCTCCTCCGTGCTTCCTTCTGGTTTTCTCCTTGCTTCTCGTTGTAGAATTTACAGTCAGTCGACTTTCCTGTAGTTCTGGGTAATGTCCATTTTATATTTTAGTTGTATTTTATTGAAATTGTTGTGTGCGGCTGCGGCTAGGTGTTTACCTGTCAGCCATCTTGGAACCCAATCCTAAATAAGTATTATTATTACTATTATTTTGCCCTTTTTTTAAAGTGTCATTTTATTTTCTCTTTATTTTGGGATTAGTGTTCTACATTTTATTTTTAATTTTTCATTAGCACCATTTTACTCTATCTGAATTTTACCTGTATGCAAACACTCTCTTCCTCAATTTTCCCCTTTTGTTTTCCTGTTTCTCTTATCCTATTCCCACTTTAGATTTTCCCTATTCCTTCTTTTTATCCCCTGTTAAAATTTCAACCTACTTATATATCTAATTTCAAATACCCTGCTCTAAGTCCAAACAAACCTCTCTCTCTCCTTGTTCACTATCCAAATTTTTTTTCTCTCTGCCCTTTGCTTGTTGTTTGCTTGATTATTGATTATATTGGGGGGTTTTTATGCTTGTTTGTGAGATTGTTTCACTTTTTCTCTTTTTGTTTTTGTTTTTGTTTGGTTTTTTTGCTTCTGTTTTCCCTTGCCTCACCTGATATTAGTTGTTGTTTGTAGTTTGCATTCATCTCTAGATGTGTGTTGCTGGAATTTGTTGGGATTAGTGGCTGTTCTATTGGAGTTTACTCCCCATATAAATAGCTTTTTCCCCCCTTCTTTTTTATTCTCTTTATTTTCTCTCTTACTTTTTCTCCTTTTCCCAATTTCATTTTTGCATTCCTTTTTCTCTGTTTTTTCCCCTCTTCTTTCTTTCTTATCCTCTAATCCTCTTTTCTCTGGTGGTCACATTTATTTAGGGTTATTAGTATCATGAATACATTTTTGTTCAATGCCGTGTGCATTGTGTCTTGATGTGTTGTATTTTGTGCCTTTAAATCAATGTAGTAGAGAGAAAACTACATATTCAAACACACAGTGAAGAGAGATCATGGGGAGACAAAGAAACAGCCCATATAAGAAAGAAAAGAAGGCATTATCAGAAAAGGCAGTAAATGAAATGGAGGCAAGCAATCTGTCAGAAAAAGAATTCAGAGATATGGTCATAAGGTGGATGAAAGAACAGAAGAAAAATTCAACAATATGTGTAAGAACCAACAGGAAATTAAAAAGAACCAAGAAGAAATGGAAAATGGCATCACTGCTATAAAGAATTCAATAGAAAGCATCAACAGTAGATTAAAAGAAACAGAAAACCACAGAAAAAGAAACCATCAATAAAACAACAAGAAAGCCCACTGTATGGGAGAACATATTTGAAAATGTTATCACTGATAAAGGTTTAATCTCCAACATTTACAGCAAACTCATACAACTTAATAAAAAGAAGATAAATTATCCAATAAAAAAAAATGGGCAACAGACCTTAATAGATACTTTTCTTCTTCTTAAAGAAGACAGAAGGAAGGCCAAGAGACATGTAAAAACATGCTCAAAGTCACTAATTATCCCAGAGATGCAAATCAAAATGACAAAGAGATACCATTTCACACCTTTCAGATTGGCAATCATTAACAAATCAACAAATGACAAGTGTTGCTGAGTATGTGGAGAAAAAGGAATCCTTGTGCACTGCTGGTAGGAATGCAGACTGGTGCAGCCATTGTGGAAAACAGTATGGAGTTTCCTCAAAAAACTAAAAATGAAACTTCCATTTGACCCAGTAATCCCACTTCTAGGAATATATTCCAAGAAACTAGAAACATGAATGCACCCCTACCTTCATAGCAGCACAATTCACCATAGCTAAGATATGGAAACAGCCTAAATGCCCATCAGCAGATGAATGGATTAGAAAACTATAGTACATCTACACAATGGAATACTACGCTGCTATAAAAAAGAAGGAATTTGCAGCAGCATGGATGGATCTAGAGGGATGGTGTTAAGTGAAATAGGCCAGGCAATGAAAGAAAAACACCACATGATCTCATTCATTAATGGAAAATAAAGAACACTATAACCTGAATAACAAAAAGATAGATACAGAGGCAGTAAAGCATCAAACAGATGGTCAAATTACAGCAGGAAGGCTGGGGAGTGTTGGGGGAGGGAGGGAGAGAAGAAATCAATCAAAGGACTTGTATGCATCCATATAAGCACAATCAATGGACACAAGACACTGAAGGGGGTGAGGGCATGCCATAGGTTGTCAGGGAGGCTCAAGGAAAGTCAATGGGGGAGGGAAGGAGATATATGCACTACCTTGTGTAATATTTTAAACAATAAAAAATTAAATTAAGAAAGAAGAATAAGGCAAAGATGTCCACTTTCACCACTCTTATTTAATATAGTACTGGAAGTCCTAGCCGTGGAGATCAGATAAGAAGAAGAAATAGAAGGCATC